AAGACACTGCTTGAGGTGGAGAGGAAGAGCCAGGATGAGGAATCTGAAGCCACCATGGTCTGGCTGTGTAGCAGGGATGGTTGGCCCACCCCTCTGCCCTCTGGATGTGGGGTTGGCCTTGTGCATGGGAGCATGTCTCTGGGTGGAGACAGGAGAGCTTTGCAGGAGAGCTGCTACATCCTGCAGAAATCAGCTCTGTCGGAGGAAAACAGTTCCACAGCACCCGATTCCATGACATTAGCAAAATGTGGCAAGACCAACCTTATCTGGTGACAGGTGTCAGACTACAGTGACATTTGTCAGAGGTTGAGTACAACACTGAATTCTCAGCCAAAGGGCAGGTGAGAGGTCACTGCGTGGGAAATGACTAAGGGACATCTGGAATAAAAGGGATTCTGGCTAAATGGAACCAACAGGAACCTTGCAGAAGCACACAGGCCAGGGATCAGACCTCACCTGGGAAGTTCTGGATGTTTGGTTCTTTTTGTTTTGGTTTGGTGTTTGGTGCCAGGACTGAGACTTGAACTCATGGTCAAGACCCTCTTTCCTCTTCCTTGGCTTTTTTACTCCACGCTTTCCTTCCACCACTTGAACCACACCTCCACTTCCAGCTTTTTGCTGGTGAATAAGAGCTTTACAGACTTTTCTGCCTGAACTAGCTTTGAACCACGACCCTTAGCTCTCAGCCTTCTGAGTGGCTAGGATTACAGGTGTGAACCATGAATGCCTAGCTGGTTTGGGTTTTTTTTTTCCTCTCACAGTCCTGGAGGTTGAACTCAGGACCTGTCAAGACGACCAGCTAAGCCACAACCCCAATCCCTTTTGCATTTAGTTTGTTTTCCAAATAGGATCTATGCTAACTTTCCCTTTCCTCCTACCTCTGCCCTCCTGAGTAGCTAGGATTACTGATGTGTACCACCATCCCAGGCCTCCCCAGAATATAGTAAACTGTAGTTGGTTGAATCAGTGGACCAGAAATCACAGAGAGCCAGGTAGGTTGAGAAATAGCAGAGTATCTTGGCTGTCTTCCCTCCCTGCTTTTTTCTTTCTACATAGCACTCCAAATGTATCATGATTTAAAACCATGAATGTTACTGATGATCCTACCACTCTAAAACAAGGGCTATTGAACATCTGCATAATCTCTTGTTAGTCCTTGTCCATGGACAGATTGATACTCAGTTCATGTTACCCACAGGATGCATGCTGTCTATATTGTGTTTTGCTGTTTTAAACTTTACCTTTTAAAAAAAAGGCATTTTTTCCCCAAGTGATGTATGATCTTTACAGTCATGTTTAGTGACCACAGAGCCGCCGATCCAGAGAATCTGCATCCAGTTGTCACTGTGGCATTAGGCCTCTGCTTTTGCTGCTAGTACAGATGTGGTACTGGTTTTGGATTTGTGGGAAAAGTCTCCTACATCTGCTTTTCTTTGGAATATGGAGTAAGTAATATTAGAGCAACCAGCCGTAGCTGTTGAATTTCTCCTCTTGTGATCTTCTGAAACAATTGCATTAATGTGAGCTTGGCTTCAACTTTGATGACATGCGAAGTTGAAGGTTTCATTCATCTCATTTTGCTATTGTTGTTGTTGAACTTGTCATTGTTGGAAGCAAAAAGAACTTTTTGATAGGGAAAAGTCCCTTTTGGAAGGGGAGGAAAAGTCAAGATTTCTCCCCAGAATCAGGCTCATTTGATGGCTCAGCCAAGAGGCCTTTCCAGAGTAGTGCTGGCTTGGTGCCAGGCCCAGTCCCAGGTGGTACTGGTGAGCACTAGGACTTCGAATTCTGTGAGTGATTGGAACTGGATTCCAGAATGTTCTCTGAGGCCACACACATCCTCCAGTCCTTGCTCCATTCACTTTTCCCCATATGGAGAGTCAGACTTCATCTTCAATTGTTAACATAAACACTTAGAAAACATCCCTGCCTCATGTCCGGAAACATACATATTTCTGGACTTAGCACAGAGTCGTTGAGAGGGAAAAAAAAGTAGGCTTACAGATGGAATTTGAAAGAAAGTCACGTCAGGGCTCCCCCAGAGGCAGTGGGAGAGACAAGTAGATATGTAGATGTTGCATGTGTATTTGTCTTTTTTTTTTTGCCCATCCTGAAGCTTAAACTCTGGGCCTGGGCATTGTCCCAGAGCATTTGTGCTCAAGACTAGTGTTCTACCACTTGAGCCACAGCTCCATTTTGTGGTTAATTGGAGATGAGAATCTCATGGACTTTTCTGCCCTGGGTTGGCTTAGAGCCTAGATCCTCAAATCTCAGCCTCCTGAGTAGCTAGGATCACAGGCGTGAGCCACTGGTGCCCAGCCCTGTATTTGTCTTTTGCAATTATCTTTTGTAATGCTGGGGCTAGACTACATGCAGGGCAAGTGCTGTGCTCCTGAGCCCCGGCCCACAGGGCCTTTCTCATGCCCTTCTTGGCAGACAGATGGACTCTCATGTCTGTCCTCAGCTTCCCTCCCCCCCCCCCCACCATGAGGTGGGATTCAGTGTCCCAGAGAGAAGAAGCCTGAAGGCCCTGGTGAAAGTATGCCCCTCACCCTGGCTAACCCCACTGCTAATCTTGAGTGCTGTCCTCAGCGCCCCCCGCGGCCCCCCCCCGCCCCGGCTGCCAGGGAAGCGCACCTGAGCTCTGAGGGCCCAGTTTTCTTCACCTAGGAGCAAGCACATCCTGTAACCATCTGTAAGACTGTGTGCTCTGAGCAGAGTTCACGCCCCAGCACTGTCATTTCCCACAGTCAGTTCCCAGGCGACTTCAGGAAACAGTCCATTCCCCCTAGCTTGCGGTGTTTACCTGTAAGAAATGGATTGTTATAATTTGTACAATTTGTGTGTGTGTGTGTGTGCGCGCGCGCGTGTGTGCGTGCATGCCAGTATGGGGCTTAAACTCAAGGCCTCATAATGCTCTACTATTGGAGCCACAGCTCCACTTCTGGCTTTCTACTGGTTAACTGGAAAGAAGAGTCTTACAACTTTCCTGTCTGGGCTGGCTTCGAATGGCAATCTTCATATCTCAGCCTCCTGAATAGTTAGGATTATAGGTGTGAGCACTGGTGTCTGGTTAAGCAAGGATTATAATGCTTGCCTCGTGTGGCTTCTGTGGAATTAACTAGGGGTGTGTGCTAAGTGCCCAGTGTATTGGGCACATTGTTAAAGGCAGAGTGCCTTCTTTGCTAAACCTAGAAGCAATATCTTCGTTGGCTAATTGAGAAGGAGGTTACATGGCTGACCTTAAGATCTCTAGCTGGGTAGAATGGAATTACATGCCTGTAATTCCAGCACTCAGGAGGCTAAGGCAGAAGGATCCCCCATTTAAGGCCAGCCTGGGCTATCATAGCAAATCTCTGTCTCAAAACCAAACAAAAAAGATTCTTTAACCCTGGGATTCTGTTATCCTATTCAAGGCATACCATACAGATGCTGCCCTGGATGTTCACACTTATACTACCAGCTAGCTAATTTGCAAGGTAGAGAACAAGAGGACTGTGATTCTGGGAGAGCCTGGTTAAAAGCTAGTGAGACCCCATTGCAACCAACAAGCTGGGCATAGTAGCTCATAACCTGTCATCCCAGCTGCGTAGTTAGGTATAGATAGGATGGTGGTGTGAGGCCAGACTCAGAAAAATATGAAAGACTATTTAAAAAATACCTAAAGCAATAAAGGGATATGACATGGTTTAAGTAGTAACAAGCACAAGGCACCAGTACTATCTCCTACCCACGCACCCACCCCCAAAGATATTTACTCACATTTATTCTTTTCTTTTTTTGGGGGGGGGGTTCTGGTGGTGGGGCCTGAACTCTGGGCCTGGGCGCTGTCCCTCAGCTCTTCAGCTCAAGGCTAGCGCTCTACCACTTGAGCCACAGAGCCACTTCTGGCTTTTTTCCCCCCTCTGCTTATGTGGTACTGAGGAATCGAACCCAGGGTCTCATGCATGCAAGGCAAGCACTCTACCACTGAGCCACCTTCCCAGCCCCTCACATTTATTCTTGAGTTAATGGGAAAAGTAACTGGAGGTTTGGCTCAAGGGATAGAGCATTTTTCTAGCAAGTACAAAGCACTAAGTTCAAATCCCAGTACCACTAAAACAAAAACCACGAAAGACAAGAAATGTGACTTGGTTGTTGAAGGAAGGCCAATACAGAATTAACTTCATAATTCTTTCTTATTTGAGCAGAATGAGATTTCTCACTTACTTAAAAATTTCATATTTATGACCAAAATAAAAGTCCCAGACTATTCATGAAAATAATGGTTTGTATTTGTCATTGGGAAAGGGTATACTGACACCTCATTAATTGGCTTCAATTAAGAAGCTAGTCAGTCTGTTTTTGTGATTTATGAAAATGCATAGACACCCCTAGATGATTGTGATTAACCTGGCAAATTAGAAGCTTCATACATCTGCTTCCATTCATGCTGTTTTCTTTTTTTTTAAAGATTTATTTTCCTGATGTAGCCATGAAATCCAGGGCGTTGGGCGGGGCGGGGGTGCTTTCAAACTTCTAAAACTGAATTTGTTTCCAATTTTGAGTTGTGAAACAAATCATAAACCAATTAGAATAGATTCTGATGTTTTCATTTTTGTGTGCCAGTACTGGGGCTTGAACTCAGAGCCTTGTACTCTTGCTTAAGCTTTTTCTCGCAAGGCTGGAGCTCTGCCACTTGAGTCACACCTCAACTTGTAACGTTTTTGGTGGTTAATTGGAGATAAGAGTCTCATAGACTTTCTTGCCCAGGCTGGCTTCAAATAGTGATCCTTAGCTCTCGTTCTTCTGAGTAGCTAGGATCACAGATGTGAGGCACAATTTAAATAAAAGCTGTTCACCCTTGGTCCTCCAGGAGGAAAGCAGTCCTGTTCATTCCTTTCTGGATGCTTTTCGTGTGCTGGAACTGTCTACTCCCTCTTGGTTTCAGTCCCCAATTTTGGTGCCATCAAACAAAGGGCACGTTCCCATGAAGGCAGCCAGGACTGGAGTGTATGAGCATGGGCCAGTGTAAGCATGTGTGTGCATGGGAGTGTTTGTCCATGTACATACATGCCGGCAAGTGAACATATGGATGATTGGATGAACACATGAATGCTTACATGTATAACAGTCAGCAATTTGCACATGTGTGAGCACATTTGCATAGGCAAAGATATGTGTAAGTGTGTGCACATGTGAGCATGCATGTGAATTGGTGTGTGTAGTATGTACCCAAATGCATGTATGCATGTGGCTGAGCAGTTTGTCCACATGTGGATATGAATATACTTGTGTTTGAGTCTGCATACATGAGTGTGCAGATGCATGTAGGTGAATGTGTGCCTGGGAGTATACATGAGCATGTGCCTGCATGGGTGTGAACAATTGTGTGTGTACACGCTCATTTACATTTGCTTTCACACACAGCGAGCTTTATAGGAATCAGGGGGGACTTTGTAGCCAGTCTTCTCTTATTATCTTACCATGGAAGGTTTTCTCCCCATTTCCCCTTGAAAGCTGACCTACACGGCTGACACAGTGGGCTTTAGGGTTGGGAGATCTGGGGTCGATCTGGATCTGTTAGTAAACCCATCGATGTCGGGGGCAGGGAGTGTGGGGGGAAAACTGGCTGGCTTATCTTAGTATCTGCCTCACCCTCCTGGAGCTTCTGTAAGGATAAAGTTTTGGGGGAAAAAAACAACTTCCTGGGTCTGCCCTGGCCCAGCATGGCAGAGCCACAGGTTCCCTTCTGACCCCACAGGTTCCCTTCTGCCTCGCTAATCCTGACAGAGGCCTGCTAGCAATCCCACGCAAAAGGGACATATTAGGACAGATCATCTACCTTCTTCCCAGCCCTGGGCTTGGCCTTGAATGAAGCCTTGAATGACCGGAAACTGGCAGTCTTGCCACTGACATCATGGGCTTCTTCCTGACCTCTTTCCAATCCCATCAACCCTCCTTTGTGTGTGTGTGTGTGTGTGTGTGTGTTGTCTGTGTGTTGGAGATTAAACTCAGAGCCTTTAGCATTTTTTCTCAAGGCTGGTACTCTACCATCTGAACCACGGCTCTGCTTCTGGCTTTTTGTTTTCTAATTGGAAATAAGAATCTCACAGACTTTTCTTGCCCAGTCTGACTTTGAACCACTGTCCTTATATCTCAGTCTGAGTAGCTAGGGTTACAAGTGAGGTCCATTAGCTCCCAGCTCAACTATTAGCTCCGCATATTCTGGGTGGTTTGGTTCTAGAACACTCTGTGGCTACCAAAAGCTGCATATTCTCCAAGTCCCTTCTGTAAAGTAGTGTGGGATTTGCAAGGAAATCTACACAGCTCCTCGCTATGCTTTAAATCTTCTCTAGATGATTGTTTGTAATCCTGACAACGTGAAGAGTTTTGCAGTATGGTTTGGGCATTGATAAGAAATGAAAAGCCTGAGTTTTGTACAGACCCTGTAAAAAAGACATTCTTGCTAGGCTGCAGGTGAATTCATGGACGGAAGGAACCACTGACTTGCTCTTCTACTCTAGCCTAGTACCCTGTCTCTATACCTTCTCATTGGGTCGGGGTGGGGGACAAATGAGTCTCAGATGAGATGACTATGAGATCCCACCAGTGTTAGTGTGCCGGGCTGCCATATGAGGTACACAGTCTGGGTGGCTTGCACAACAGAAATCTCTTCTCTCCACGCGGTGCGGGCTGCAACTCCACCAGCTCAGTGTTGACAGGCTTGGTTTCTCCCAAGGCCTCTCTTGCCTAGCAGATGGCTGCCTTCTTGCAGTGTCCCAGCGTGATCTTGTCTCTTTTGCATCTGGGTCCCAGTCTTTCTCTTTTTAGTTAGTTAGTTATTTATTTTGTCAGTGGTGGAGCTTGCACTCAGGACCTGGGCTCTGTCCTTGAGCTTTTTGTTCAAGGCTAACATGCTATTATTTGGGAGCCACAGCACCACTTCTGGTTTTCTGGTGGTTCATTGGAGATAAAAGTCTCATGGAGTTTCCTGTCCCAGCTAGCTTTCCAGTGTGATCCTCAGAGCTCAACTTCCTGAGTAGCTAGGATTACAGGTGTGAGCCACCAGTGTGTGTGTGTGTGTGTGTGTGTGTGTGTGTGTCCTGGGCAAGGCTTGTCCCCAGTATGGCAAGACCTAGGGTGAAATCTGCTCCCCACTCCTCCCCCCACAGTGGGGCTGTTGATTAGATTTCTTTCTGTCAAACCAGCATGGCAAACTCTAGCAGGCTGGTTCTGACAGGAAGTGACAGATGCCTTTGAAAAACAATGAATAGAAACATGAATTAAGGATTATTGAAGAATCACATTTTGTTTGTAGAGTAACCCTCTCAAAACAAGCGCATGTATTTCGAGACCGAGCCGAGACCCTTCAGGAAATCTGTGCGCTGATGTGGTTTGTAAGGGAGACACTCAGTGGGCTGATGAGAGTCACTGATTAAACCCACATTCCTGGGAGAAAAGTTGTTATGCAGCTTCTGCCAATTGCCTGAGCTAGGCTGGGTGTGCTCACATTTTCTTTGCCATGGGCCTATGGGGGAAGTTGTTACCTGGCACCACGGTGGAGTCTGAGGCTGAAAGGAACCCCAGGACACTTGCTTCACCAATACCTAAGCCTAAGGCCTGGGAAAGCCTTTTTTTTTAAAATAAAAAGATAGACTGATCAACAAACAGACAGAAAGACATTTGGTAAACCTGATCTACACTGAATTCCACATCGTTAAGCCATACAACTTGATAAATGTTGACATTGTGTACATTTGTGGAACTTTCCACAATCTAGACAGTGAAGAACATAAATCTACCACCCTGGGAAGTCCCCCCACCAAACCCCCCTGTGGCCACTGCTGTCTGTTAATGTTGACAGGCTTTCAGCTTTTATAACCTTGGTTTGTTTGTTTCTTAGTTTCTATGATGGTCCTGGGGCTTAAACTCGGGGACTGGGCACTGTCCTTGAGCTTTTTAAGTTTAAGGCTAGGGCTCTACCACTTGAGCCACATCTCCACTTCCAGCTTTTTGATTGTTAATTGGAGAAAAGAGTCTCACAGACTTTCCTGCCTGGACTAGCTTTGATCTCAGACTCCTGAGTAGCTAGGATTACAGGTGTGAGCAATCGGGGCCTGGCTGAATGAGGGCTTTTTAAAATCAAGTGACTTTTTTCCTCATTCCATGGAGCCTCGTTATTTCTATTGGGGTGTTGGATACTTTTGAAATTCGTAGGCGCTTTATCAAATTCATGACCTGTGTATGTGATGTCACAGTTCCTTTGAAGTGCACGCGGCTTATGCCAGGTGCACAGTCAGAGAGAGCAGTCATTAAGTGACTTTGTTGTGCAGATAACCCGAGTCAGTTTTGTTTTTGACTGGGATCCATCCATTGGAGTTCACGCTTTGATGAGAGGTGCAGACCTGTGGGTTTTGACAAATGCACAGTTAATGATGGCCGCTCAGGACACACGGTCCATCACCTCCAGCCTCCTCCACAGGACTCCTCATCCTCAGCTCCTTTCCCAAATGCTCACTCCCTTTCTGTCATACAGTTTGGTCGGGCCTAGTTTCCATAGCAACTTCGATTATTATTATTATCATCATTATTATTTGGTAGACCTGAAAATTGCCTGGAAGCAGAGGTTGTTTTGTGGACTGGAATTGGCTGATACTAGAATTGGAGTCCTTCCCTGAAACTTCCATCTCTTAAGTCTCAATTTTCCAATTTCTGACTAGATATTTAATAGTTCCTAGCTCTTGAGAGTTACTGAGAGAAATGGATGTTAACTGTTGGCAGGGTACCTGCCACATGAAAAGCAGGATTTTTGTTTGTTTGTTTTTTGTTTTGTTTTTTAGTACTAAGTTTGAACTCAGGTCTCACAATGGCTGATCGTCATCAGCCTGGTTCACGACCTTCCTACCCTTCCCTCTTACACACCTGGCATTCCAGGGGTACCACCACACCTGCCTTGTTGGTTGAGAGAGGGGTGAGGGAGTGGCGATAACTTTTTGCTTAGGCTGGCCTCAAAAAGCAATCCTCAGCTGGGCACTGGTGGTGCATGCCTGTAATCCTAGCTACTTAGAGGGTTGAGATCTGAAGATCGTAGTTCAAAGCCAATCAGGGCAGGAAAGTCTGTAAGACTCTTATCTCCAGTTAACCACCACAAAACCAGAAGTGGTGCTGTGGCTCAAGTGGTAGAGCACTTGCCTTGAACTGACGAGCTGAAGGACAGTGCCCAGGCCCAGAGTTCAAGCCCCAGGACTGACCAAAAAAAAAAAAAAAAAGCAATCCTCTCCATTATTGCTTCCAAATGCCTGTGATTATAGGAGTAAGCTACTGCACCCAGCCCCAGTAGTTAAATCTTGAGTAGCTGAGATTACAGCTCAGTCCCTGAGGAGCTGGGACCATAGGTGCTCAACCACATTGGCTCAATGTTTAATTAATTTATTTTTCTTGAATGTCCGTCAAAATCATTTGAGCATGTGACCAGACATCTGAGGAGTATCCGACAGTGCTCTCGCCAGCCATTACTGAACTTATCTGATGACATTTGGAAAACCTGGACTTTCGCTGATTCTTCAGTTTCCCTGTAGAACTTACTACTCTGCTCCCCACAAAAAAAATCTCCCAGATCTTTTTCTAGCTTCTGGAGAGGAACAGCCCCTCCTCCTCCCCCTCCTAGATGATTCTCCCCCCCCCCCCAGAAACTCATCCTTTATTTACTTTTTGGGAAAAGACTTGTTTGCATATGTAAAACCAGGGCCATGTTGTTTGCAGATGCTGGAGTCCTGCCAGATATTGAATATAAAATGAGTTGAAGCTTTTAAATCATTTTATAAACCTGGACTCAATAGTTTCTTTTTTTAAAAAAATTTTTTTTTTTTTTAAAGAAAAGCCTAAAGATGCCAGGATTGGTTTTCCAATTTAGACATTTTTATTTAGAGTTCACAGTGGCCGAGTTTCAAAGCCACAGAGAATGAGGGGCCAGGAGCTGGGGGAGGAGAGATGATCAAGAGTTAGAAGTGTAGATTGATCACCAACTCAGAAAACACAAATGCAGGCACCGAGTTAAAAATGACCTAACAACAACCCTTATGCCCAAGCTGGGCATTGGTGGCTCATGCTTGCAATCCTAGCTAAGATCTGAGGATCATGGTTCAAAGTCAGCCAGGACAGAAAGGTCATGAGACTTTTATCTCCAATTAACCACCCAAAAGCCAGAAGTGGAGGTATGGTTCAAGGGGTAGAGCACTAGCCCTGAACAAAAATGCCAAGGGAGAGTACCAGGCCCTGAGTTCAAAACCCAGTACCAGCACAAACATTTTCTAAAAAGACCTCCAGTAATACATTCCCATAGTAGCCTTAAGGTCACGGTTTCATTCTCATCTCTCCTTTCAGTGTCTTCTGGGGTAGCTTGGAAGCCATTGTATTGCCTATCAGTGGCTGATAAAGCCCCACACCCTCTAAGACAAAAGGGCAGGAAGTGATAGCCATGTTAAAAGATTATTGTTGACCGCTCTGCATGCTTTCCTTTAAGTCAAGGATATCACCGGATTCTCATTCCTGTCTAGCACTGATACACAGATCACAGCTTCTTATACCAATCATCTGGCCGGAACTAGAAGGTTGAAGTCTTTTCCCAAGTCCATTTTGAAACCTGTTGTTAGATCATCTGCAAATACAGCTGGGAAAAAGATGGAGTTCAGATGGAGTTCAGGCCATTCTTGACCTGTTCCCACACAGACCTGGGCCTTAGGGGTCTGGGTCTAGACCCCCCAAGGGGTAGTAGAAGGTGGGGTGCTTTGGTGTTGCTTTTTTTTTTTTTTTTTTTGGTCTGTTGTGGGGCTTGAACTCTGGGCCTGGGAGCTGTCCCTTAGCTCTCCAGCTCAAGGCGAGCGCTCTACGACTTGAGCCACAGTGCCACTTCCAGTTTTCTGAGTGGTTTATTGGGGATAAGAGTCTCACGGACTTTCCTGCCTGGGCTGGCTTTGGATCACAATCCTCCAATCTCAGCCTCCTGAGTAGCTAAGGCTCAGTATTGGGGGTGCCTCTAAATTACTTCTAAATTACTTAGCCTGAGGGGTACAGCTCGCTGATAGAGCATATATGCTCAGCATGTGTGAGTTTCTTCATCCTGATATGCCCTCTAAATAAAGTAAAACAAAATACCTTGTGTGTCCTTGTTAGGACTTAGTCCTAGCTGTTTTGTTGGTGGTGGTTGTTTTGTTTTTTGGATAATGGACCAATCACTTTTCTCCTATATGTGGGGATTATGAATGAATTTCTTCCTTTATGCAAGCTTGGATCCTATTGTCTATGAGCAGAGACCTCTAATTGGTGCCTCAGAAGTTGCTGGGGTGACAGCTCAAAGGTAGAGCACAAATGGAGCATGTAAAAGCCCCTGGCTTGACTTCCCAGCATCATAAAAGTTGCCCTATGGGTCAAATGGAGCCTGAGAGTAACAGACTTGTCTCTAGGAGTTACCCCTGTTAAGTGTATGTGTGAATCTAGATTGCATTTCTGGGGTAACTCTTCTTTTCTCTATCTAGCTCAGGGCTGGGCATATGTACAATATCCAGTTAAATGGCACTGAATCACATTATCCAGGCCAAGGATCCCCACTAGAAAAAAAGAAAGGAAATACAATGTCATCAAGGGCAAATTAAACCAGAGCCCTCACATCCAAGGCCATGGGTTGAGAGAGGTCGTGGGGCTCCCTGAGGATTGATGGGGTAAGCTTGTGAGTCCAGAGAGCTGCCACAAGGGCGGGGGGCAAGGGGGGAGCAGTTTTTGATTTATTCTACCATGGCCTCTCAGGTCACGGCTTTGGCCATGCCTGGCTGGCTGGCAGGATGCCTACTTGTGTGTTACTCTTGGGGTTATATTTAAACATGTTGCAACACAATACAAACCAGCACCTCATCAGGCATTGTTTCAGGCTTACTTTTTGCTTTTCCTCTCCTTAGAAAAATTGCCTATAGAATCTAATGACCTTTCCAGAAATGTTCTGAAAAAAAACAAAAAAAAATGCTACCACCATTTGAGATCATTCAGATATTTTGAATTTTTTTTTTTTTGTGCCAGTGTGGGGGCTTGAACACGGGTCCTCTTGCTCTCATTTGACTTCAGCTTTTTGCCGGTTAATTGGAAATAAGAGTCTGATGGGTTTTTCTGCCTGGGTTGGCTTTGAACTATGATCCTCAGATCTCAGCCTCCTATGTAGCCAGAATTATAGGTGTGAGCCATCAGCACCCAGCAGATACTTTTTATCCCCTAATTTTTCTAGTTGTACCTTCCTGTATTCTGAAACTCATCCATACATATATGTTTCTTTTTCCTTTCATTCTTGGGTCAGAAATTGGATGGAATTGTCAAGGTCCGGACTGTTCGAGAAGCCCCGTCAGAGTGTGTCTGCCCCCCAGGTAAGCTAAGAGTTCTTTTCTTTAGTCGTTTCTGATGTCAGTGGGCGGGGCCTTTCTTCCTGCTGTCCACTCATAGCTTTACAGGTCACCCATGGGCAAGAGGATGTGTTTCAGGCTAGAGTGTGGAGGACTGTTACAGACCTTCCTCTCATTAGCTAGAGACTCTGCAAGCTAAACTGACTTGATTGATTAGCTGTACTGGGAGAGGGACCAAGAGGAGAATGAGATAATTTAGAATGAAGACATTGGTTTTAACACTGTGGGCAGAGCTCTTTCAGATACAGGGCAGAGTCTCTTCCGTCTGGCTTGTTGGTTTGTTTGCTTGTGGTTGTTTTTGCTTTCATTTCTTTTGATGTAGGCAGAGAAAGGGACCAGGAAACTCACAAGTCTGGATTTTGCAAATGATTGGCTCTGTCTTGTGTTTTTCTGGTGTGGCTCAGGAGCGCCAGGAATAAAGCCAGGATTTGTGGATTCCTAACCCATGTAGCTCAAATGCAGATTTATCTAACAGATCTTCTGGTTGTCTTTAGGGAACTTTCTATGGACCACAATTGAGCATTCGGTGGTGAGCTCTACTCCTGGTATTTGCAGGGTTGGAATAACTCTTGCTCAGGATAATGTGTAATACCAGTGAGCGAGTAAAGAGCTATAATGTGGCTAAGCAGTCCTGGCATGCTGGAGGAGATGGTTTTGGTTACCTGTTCCCAGAGCATGGGAGCAGAATACAGTGCCCCTTGTCCTCATTGTCACTCCTATTAGCCAAGTGCTTGCCATGTCCCAGCCCATTTCAATGGGTCTAGGCTCAGAGATCACTGCCAGCCCAGGCCTGAGCTATTCCATGGCAAACGCAGATCTCATGGTGGGAAGGGAGAGGATTTTCTGGCTGAGCTCTAGCTAGAATCTCTGTTCTAGTAAGAGGAGGAAGGATGTGACAAATAATGACACCATGAGCAGGTTAGTAATTCAGAAATTGCAGTTTACACAGGGGAAACTTAGACTGATAAATGAATTTTGGGATGAGTTACAAAATGGGTCAAATGGGAACAATCCATCTTTTCGTTGGTTTTCTGAGTGCTGAGTTAGACGTTCAGCCAGCTCTCCACATCATGGCATGCACTTCGACAGATGTTGGCTTATAACCACCTTGGATTCAGCCATCTGGGGATTCAAGGTATCAGCAACGAAACGTTGAATTCATATTGAACATGTGTGTACTCTTTTTTATCATGACTTTCTGAAAACTAGAGTTTACATGTCATGTGCATTGTACTAGGTATTATAAATAATGTAGAGACTATTGAAGTCTATGGGAAAAGGTGCATGAATGATGTGCAAATGTAACCTCTTTTCATATTGGGAACTTGGACAGCTGTGTATGTGTATGTGTATGCATGCATGTTTGTGTGTGTGTGTGTGAGAGAGAGAGAGAGAGAGAGAGTGTGTGTGTGTGAGTGTGTACTGGGTTAGGAGAACTGGCTAGAAGCAATCGCCTATAGATACCAGGAGAACCTGGACATTCATGTGATTTATATATGTTTGTTTTTAAACTGGGAGTCACAACCATTCACATTAAAGCTCCTTATCATTTTCTAGGCAGTAGTTTTGAACTTGTGGAGAAGAATAAAAAAGCTGTTTCTGTTTGTAGATGTGGCCTGGGTGGCAGTGTGTAATAAGTTTCTTGTTGTGGGTTAGTACCAGAATGGTCCAAATCCCAAAGACAGAGACAGATGGAGAGAGGAGTGTGTGACCCAGGGTTCTTGAATAAGTCAGAACTTATATCAAATCTTGGGTCTCTCTTTCTAACCATAGGGATGCTCTCCTCATTCTCCTTTCCCTTCGCCTTTTCCTTCCCTTCTTCTGATGCTGGGGATCAAACCCAGACCCTCTTTTATACAGGGCTGGTAAGTACTCCACCACTGAGCTCCACCCCTAGCCCACTGTGAGAGCTTTGATTGGATGTGGCAACAATGTTGGAGTTGGTCCTGGACCTATTGGAAGTCATGGAGCAAGCACACGTCAAGACAGTGACCTGCAAGCTGTCCTGTGGCCTGTCCAGTATCCCTCTGTGTCTGGGCAGAGGAAGGAGATGCTGAGTGGCTGACAGAGGCTCAGGAAGAAGTGATGGAAGCTAACTAAGGAGCTGAAAGCCTGCTGGGGAAGTCTGGACAGTTTTGAACACACCATGCATTCCACGAAGCAAAACATTCACTAGCTTTTCCATGTTAGATTTTAGCAGTAAATACACAGAGTTGAGCTTCTCTCCTAGCCAAATTCCTAGCCAAGAGGATTTCGCCATTGATGGTATTTTAGAAGACTGGAGAAGTAACCCTTATCAGCAAGTCTTTGATTCAGAAGGTGACTGAGCGCGCCTCATCCTTCTCTTTCCATCATGAAGAATCTTTTTAAGCACGGTGCTGGGTACGAGGGACCAAAAAAAAAAATAGGACACGACCTCACAGTTTGGCAACTCTTTGGGTGTACAGCGGAAAAACGCACGATCTCCCCCCCCCCTCCCGATCTGGCCTCCTGCCTCGCTTGAAGGACCTTTTGTTTTGTTTTGTTTTGTTTTCCTCAATGGGAATTGTGGTTTTTAGGATTGCAGCTCTCAGGATTTCAACATTTTAGGAGTTCAGTCTGGGGATTATGATTTTGGAAGATTTTGATATTTAGAGATTTTTAGACTTGGGGGTGGGGAGGGTGTAATCCTTTGGGGATTTCCACATTCGGGATGAGGACTTTTAGCTTTGTGTCTTATGGCACAATTGAGCTCACAACTGAGCTTGGGAGTGGGGGTCAGAACCTCTCCAACCTGTGGAGACACACTGAAACTCCTCATTCTGGTCAACCAAGGCTGTTTTTCATTGGTCGTAGTACATGTGGTCTGTACGGCCCAGGAAAGGGCCTGGTGTCCTCATCAGAACCTTCTGCCCACCCTTGTCCCTTGTTCTTTTCTACCTGTCATTTGGAGTCTGAGCTCTCCCTGAAGACCCCAATCTTTTAGCCATATAACTCCCCCCCCCCCACACACACCCAGCCTAGTGGACTGGCACATGCGCTCCCAGTGTCCAAAAGAGGACAGAGGCCCTTTTCTGTTACTCCTTTCTTCTCAGCAGACTCTGATCAAAAAGCCCCACAGACTTCTGGAGTCTGGAAACTTAGACCACCCTCTGTAGCTTCATCCCCCGTCTGATCTGAGATACGGACAGATCCCTACCCCAGTTCCTTCCCACGACCCAAGGAGACAGTGTAATCTATTGTCAGATCTTTGCAGTAGCGGGCAGATAAGCCAGGCTAGGGAGAGGCCATGCTTCTTCTGTATGTCGCCTATTGTGAAGGGGCTGGAAGACCAGGCTGGAAGATGGTGAGTTCCTGGGCCCAAGTCCATGGTGCGGGTGACTGGCAGGGCTGTGTCCCCAGCCAGCTCTGCGACCTCAGTGGAGTGCTTGTCATTGAGTTTTGTACCCTTTGTCTAGAAAATAACATAGTGGATTGAATTGTGTTCTCCTACAAGATAGATCCAAGTCCTAGCCCTAGTGTCTGAGAAAGTGATCTGATTTGGAAACAGAGTCCTTTTGTTGTTGTTTGTTCCATTACTGAGACATTAGCTTGAACTCAGAGCCTAAATGCTGTCTGTCCCTTAGCTTTTTCACTCAAGGTAGTGCTCTTCCATTTAAGTCACATCTCTGTTTTTTGGCTTCTTAGTGAGAAATTGGAGATATGAGTCTCACAGACTTTCCTGACCAGTCTGGTTTTAAACATCAGTCCTCAGAACTCAGCCTCTTGAGTAGCTAGAATTACACACATGAACAACCAGTACCCAGCCAGTAAAACATTCTGTGAGTGGTCTTCACCATCCACGCTGTCCAGCGTTGTGACCAGGACATGTGGCTAGTGAGCCTCTGAGAAGTAGCATATGTGACAGAGAAACTGAACTTTACAATCTTATTTCATTTTAATGGATTTTAATTGAAATTACCATTATCTGCCTAGTGGCAGCTAAATGAAATTGCTCAGCCCTGTTTGGAGGTAATGCATGCATACAAATGCTCCTCATTTGAATGATGGTCTGACATTCCCAATCAACCTCATTAGAAGTTAAAAATATCCCAAACGAGAGAAACACTCAGAATCCTTGTGTTAGCCACAGTTCATCGACACTTAACACAGAGCCTATTTTATAATCAAGTGTGGACTTGCTCATGTAATTCATCAAACAATGTGTTGAAAAGCAAAACCAGAGTAGTCGTGTTTGTGGATTTTTGCACTACAGTAAGAATTGAAAAATTCTGAGTCAAATTGGGGACTAGTGGTATATCAATGAATAGCTCCATTGTTGGTGTGTTTTTGTTTTTGAAATGGTCTGCTCCAGATCACATATCAGAAAATAGGTGCTAACACTTTTTGGGGGGTCAGTGTTGGGACCCTCTCACACTGTTGGGATGTCCTGAGATGTACTTGGTTAGTGCCCTGGAAAGACTTTGGGTTGTTTCCTGTCCTGTGACCTTACAGGCCATCCTGCATCTGTTCTGTGTTGGAAAGGACAGCTTTGCTCTATTGGCTTGTTTTCTGACGATCCCTATGACAGGGCCTGGGGTTGTAATGAAATGGAAAGATAAGGCCCCTCCGTTCGTGGGGGAAGCCAGCCAGGTTGACTTTGGAGCTGGATCTATGGGTTATGTCACACAACCCTGGCCTACACCGTGCTGTGACCAGTCATGACACACAAGTGTTCTTCCTTTGTGAGTGTCAGAGCCTGAGAGCCCTGCATTCAAATGTTAACTTTCACTTAATTAGCCACCAGGGGGTCCCATACTGGTGTAATAATTTGAGTTCATTCCATCTTTGAAGCGTAGCATCAGAATATTGATTCATGTCTGATCATCCTTCATGGAAAAAAAAATGTAAAAGGAATTTCAGCATGTCACCTAACCAGAAGTAGCAAGGGGCAGAGGCAGAGCCAGCTTGAGGTATGTCTGGGCTCAGGGGCCAGTCATCACCCA